TTTCGGAATTCGTACGTACGCAAAATGTTAGTAAAGCGCGTTAACGTAATTCGCAAACCGTAAGCGACAGTACATAAGTAAAACGGTCCCCTGGTATGGAAACGTCTTGGTGACAATGCATGATGTTCTATATAAAACATAAAAAACCTAATTAGTGGTTTAAAAAAACTCCTACGTAGTGCTTTTTAAATTCTACGTGATTTTTATTTCTATTCTATTTGATTTTTGGTTACGGAATAACAGACTGGTTTCATAAGATATTTTTAAACACACACACACACACAGAAACACACACACACGCACACGCGCACACACACACACACACACACACACACACACACACACACACACACACATAACCAACAAACAAAAGCAATTGTACTTACTTTCCTTCTTTTCATTCGTCATATATTGAAGGGAAATTCCATTATGCTACAAATTTTCGCAAATATTCGGCCGTTTCCGTCATTCTTTAATAATAAGTCATAACACGCGGATCTGTAATAAATATGCGGATCTCGATACTGAATTAGACATGCCTCCTAAGAATTTTGGAGGAATCACTTGCATAATTGTCTGTATCTTAAATGCATTATTTTGTAAAGTATTACGTACTTCTGGTGACATTTCTTTCTTTCCTTTTTGTGATTTTTTCAGGACCTTATCGTTGATTTTTGAGGAACTGCGCTCCAGATTACATGTCACTTGTTACTATGATAATATTCGATTTATCCGCTAGAGGATTAAATCTTTTAACTTAACATTTTTATTATAACACCCCAGAAGGGCCTCAAAGAGTTGTCAGTAACTTTGTGAACAACAGAATTGTGTTACATGCCCGGGTTGTTATTATGTTATACATGCAATTTGCCTGAAATAAAATCATCCGGACCCTAAGTTAACCTTAGGGCGTTTTTTTCTTGTTTTCTGAGAAAAATGAATTTCATGTAGACTGTTCAAGGCAAGCGCGCTGCTTGATTTTGTATGACTGTACATTTTATAATAATTAGTCATAGTATGAAAATGAAAGTTAAATAGCTTAAAGTAAATATAATAGTTAAAGCTTTGTACTTTCTTTGCCAAATTGTCAATAGGTAAGATGTTTTTTCTTATAAAATGTGACAATTTAATATGATTGTATTTTTGTGTAGCTTTATTGGTCGGTTGGTTAATTAGTTTTAACTTCATAAAAAGTAAGATGATTACCAAAGGAAATGTACCTGTTTATTCAACTTTAAAAAAAAACAAGATATGTTTGTAAAACATGTATGCCCCCTATCAGCAGCCAATTAGTCATGTGATAAGGTTATTATGCATGACTTCTGACCCAGTGATCAAACAATTAATAAGGGTTATCAAGTATCTACTGGTCATGACCTTAACCTTTGACCCCTTGACCCAAAACTCAATCTATATAGGGGTCATCTGCTGGTCACGACCAATCATCATACAAAGTTTGAAGTTCCTAGGCCTAAGCGTTTTTAGTTAATTGATCAGAAACCGTTTCTAACATACAAGGTCAATGTGACCTTGACCTTTGACCCCAAAATCAATAGGGGTCATCTGCTGCTCATGACCAATCACCATGCCAAGTTTGAAGTTCCTAGGCCGAAGGGTTCTTTAGTTATTGATCAGAAACCGTTTTTACTTACAATGTCAATGTGACCTTGACCTTTGACCCCTTGACCCCAAAATCAATAGGGGTAATCCGCTGGTCATGACAAATCACCATACCAAGTTTGAAGTTCCTAGGCCTAAGCGTTCTTAAGTTATTGATCAGAAACCGTTTTTACTTACAAGGTCAATGTGACCTTGACCTTTGACCCCTTGACCCAAAACTCAATAGCGGTCATCTGCTGGTCACGACCAATCATCATACAAAGTTTGAAGTTCCTAGGCCTAAGCGTTTTTAGTAAATTGATTGGAAAATGTTTTTACCTACAAGGTCAATGTGACCTTGACCTTTGACCCCAAAATCAATAGGTCATCTGCTGGTCATGATCAATCACCATACCAAGTTTGAAGTTCCTAGGCCTAAAGGTTCTTAAGTTATTGATTGGAAAGCATTTTTACCTACAAGGTCAATGTGACCTTGCCCTTTGACCCCTTAACCCCAATATCAATAGGGGTCACCTGCTGGTCATGACCAATCACCATACCAAGTTTGAAGTTCTTAGGCCTAAGGGTTCTTAAGTTATTGATTGGAAACCGTTTTTACCTAAGAGGTCAATGTGAGCTTGACCTTTCACCCCTTGACCCCAAAATCAATAGGGGTCATCTACTGGTCATGACCAATCACCATATTAAGTTTGAAGTCCCTAGGCCTAAGGGTTCTTTCGGTTATTGATCGGAAACCGTTTTTACATACATGGTCAATGTGACCTTGACCTTTGACCCCTTAACCTCAAAATCAATTGGGGTCATCTGCTGCTCATGACCAATCACCATACAAAGTTTGAAGTTCCTAGGCCTAAGGGTTCTTTTGTTATTGATCAGAAACCGTTTTTACCCAAGAGGTCAATGTGACCTTGAACTTTGACCCCTTGACCCAATAAATCAATAGGGGTCATCTACTGATCATGACCAATCACCATACCAAGTTTGAAGTTCCTAGGCCTTAAGGGTCTTTAGTTATTGATCGGAAACCGTTTTTGCTTACAAGGTCAATTTGACCTTGACCTTAGACCCCTTGACCCCAAAATCAATAGGGGTCATCTACTGATCATGACCAATCACCATACCAAGTTTGAAGTTCCTAGGCCTTAAAATTCTTTAGTTATTGATCGGAAACCGTTTTTGATTACAAGGTCAATGTGACCTTGACCTTTGATCCCTTGACCCCAAAATCAATAGGGGTCATCTACTGGTCATGACCAATCACCATATCAAGTTTGAAGTCCCTAGGCCTAAGGGTTCTTTCGTTATTGATCGGAAACCGTTTTTACATACATGGTCAATGTGACCTTGACCTTTGACCCCTTCACCTCAAAATCAATTGGGGTCATCTGCTGCTCATAACCAATCACCATACAAAGTTTGAAGTTCCTAGGCCTAAGGGTTCTTTTGTTATTGGTCAGAAACCGTTTTTACCCAAGAGGTCACTGTGACCTTGAACTTTGACCCCTTGACCCCAAAGTCAACAGGGGTCATCTACTGGTCATGACCAATCACCATATTAAGTTTGAAGTTCCTAGGCCTTAAAGTTCTTTAGTTATTGATCGGAAACCGTTTTTGCTTACAAGGTCAATGTGACCTTGACCTTTGACCCCTTGACCCTAAAATCTATAGGCGTCATCTACTGATCATGACCAATCACCATATTAAGTTTGAAGTTCCTAGGCCTTAAAGTTCTTTAGTTATTGGTCAGAAACCATTTTTAATTACAAGGTCAATGTGACCTTGACCTTTGACCCCTTGACCCCAAAATCAAAAGGGGTCATCTACTGATCATGACCAATCACCATACCAAGTTTGAAGTTCCTAGGCCTTAAGGGTCTTTAGTTATTGATCGGAAACCGTTTTTGCTTACAAGGTCAATTTGACCTTGACCTTTGACCCCTTGACCCCAAAATCAATAGGGGTCATCTACTGATCATGACCAATCACCATACCAAGTTTGAAGTTCCTAGGCCTTAAAGTTCTTTAGTTATTGATCGGAAACCGTTTTTGATTACAAGGTCAATGTGACCTTGACCTTTGACCCAAAAATCAATAGGGGTCATCTACTGATCATGACCAATCACCATACCAAGTTTGAAGTTCCTAAGCCTAAGGGTTCTTTAGTTATTGATCGGAAACCATTTTTAATTACAAGGTCAATGTGACCTTGACCTTTGAACCCTTGACCCCAAAATCAATAGGGGTCATCTACTGGTCATGACCAATCACCATACCAAGTTTGAAGTTCCTAGGCCTTAAGGGTCTTTAGTTATTGATCGGAAACCGTTTTTGCTTAAAAGGTCAGTTTGACCTTGACCTTTGACCCCTTGACCCGAAAATCAATAGGGGTCATCTACTGATCATGACCAATCACCATACCAAGTTTGAAGTTCCTAGGCCTTAAAGTTCTTTAGTTATTGATCGGAAACCGTTTTTGATTACAAGGTCAATGTGACCTTGACCTTTGACCCCTTGACCCCAAAATCAATAGGGGTCATCTACTGATCATGACCAATCACCATATCAAGTTTGAAGTTCCTAGGCCTTAAAGTTCTTTAGTTATTGATCGGAAACCGTTTTTGATTACCAGGTCAATGTGACCTTGACCTTTGACCCCTTGACCCCAAAATCAATAGGGGTCATCTACTGGTCATGACCAATCACCATACTAAGTTTGAAGTTCCTAGGCCTAAGGGTTCTTTAGTTATCACTCGGAAACCATTTGGTCTACGGACCGACGGACCGACGGACCGACAAGTGCAAAGCAATATACCCCCTTTTCTTCGAAATGGGGGCATAAAAATACGAATTGAACTTACACTCATTTAATATAGTCTAAATACATAATTATTATGGTCACCTGAATATATTTTAAGCAGTAGGATACATATTGAATTCATATTCAACTTATTTTGTTTTGCAAGTAGTAAAATAATATATATATTTTTGTAAAAATATATATTTGTTCCTTTTTGCTCAACCATCAATTTGTTGGATGTCAGAATATGTAAGGTTCAACATCACAGATCATAAAGATATATTATCATGTTGCGTAAATTATTCTCAATCTCAATCTTTATATTTTAAATTAATATTATAAAAGCAGTTAAATAGCATTCGTTAGAAAAAGCCCCAAATATTGACCTTCTCAAGTATTACTCCAGATTGAGAATGGGAAATAAAAACAAATTTGTTTGCCAAACAGTTTCACTTTCTTTTTACCAGTTTAAAAGATACACACCAGACAGGATTACTGCTAACAATCGGACAGACGGACGACAAGGTTCATAACAATATACATTATTTCGGGCGTTTAAAAAGAAAAACAACATTTTACTTACTTTTTTGTCACAATCAAGGGAAATTCCACTCAGCTTGAAATAAAACCGCAATCCGATTTATATAATCAAAACATCTCGATATTTTCTTTCCATAAAGAAGTCTTAATACGCGTATCAACTGTCCCAATTCAAAGCTCCCCTCGTCTAAGTGGTTAAACAAGTAGTACTTCAAGTGTACTGATGATTGTAATATAAAGTACATGAAGCGTAGTATTTTTGTCCCTTTAAATGTGTTTTTTCTAGGAATTTGCACGACCTTTGTTTCAGGAAGTACTACGTAAGTTATTAAATGAACTTGGATATTTTTATAGTGATCACACCAATTGCAATTTACCCAAAACATTGAATGGTTAACACATTATTTTTATATTAATTGGATGTTATTTTTTGACCCTGTTTGACGCTTTTATTTTCCCTCACTACGGGTGGCATGCCTGTAACGACACCTTGTGAGTTACATTGAACGACCCTAATTGTTACTTAAATTTACACCTGTTTAACGATTTAAATTTACACCTTTAAAAACACACTCGATAACCACCAATACATACCTAGTACTTCAATACCTTTCGTGAAGTTTCTTTTGAATAAACAATGACCAGAATCAATCGAATATATCGATATATTTGCTAACTTCAGTCGTCAGTGAGGTGTGGTGTATTGGTATTAATTTCGGCCTACCGATCTTAATAGCTCTGGTTCGATATCTTAAAAACACCTCGCTATGATTATTTGTTTAAATTTACTTTTATGAAATAATTTTTTATCGTTTAACTACGCCTGATTTTAGTGTTCAACTTTATATGTCATCCAATGGAAACGCTGTATTTCAATATAATGAGAGTTAATTTTCATAGAAGAAGTCGATACCATATCAAATTCTGCTCATAGTCACCTTCTAGTATTCATAATGCTTCATAGAAGCGCTTTTACTAAAATAGTCATTTGCACGTTCGCTTTCATGGGCTGCTTTGTATATGTTAGTGTTCATCCGTGCGTGTACAGAAATTAGAATCTTCGACGGGAGCGATAGCGACCGGAGATTGTTTCTAATTTCTGTAGAACAGCTACGGTTGAATACTAACATATTAATTGTCAAACTTTATTTGGCCTCATAACCACTTTATTACGCCACTATGCCGTTCTATGAAGTACTACGAAAAATAAAAGTCGACTATGAACGCACCTAAACATAGTATCGACTTTTGCCCTTCTATAAAATTTAACGCACACATTATTTTAAAAAATACAGCGTTTCATCGGATGACAAATAAAGCTGGACATCTAAAGGCCAACCTACATTCATTTTAGGATTAATTGGATTTATTGATAAATTATATACATGCAGTTCAGATTTAAATCCACGTGTCGTCTTGGCGAAACAGATACTTTATGTGTAAAATAAAAAAGAAAACAATACAAAATGTCAATTTATATTTTTGTATTACAATTGTTGCTAAACAGGAAAGTGCACGTGTGTCCCATTTATTTTTTCGGTAGACAGAAAATGAAAAATAAAAAATTTTTTTTTGGAAAAAAAAATTTCGCCTCCATAAATTGGGAATACAGTATAAAAACATATAACATTAGGGCCAAATGAAATATAAATTTACCAACTAAACATAATTTTTTTGGGAAAAAAAAAATTTCAATATCGAGCAAATGGAATCTTTGCATCACCCAAATTAGGGCCCCCCATTTTTTTCCCACCCCAAAAAACAAGGGAATTCGGGTTTTTAAATGCATATTGATAAAGGAAAATTAAATATTGGGTTTTAAAAAAGTGGGCTGGGAGTATTTTAATCAATGATATTATTTTAGGGCCCAAAAAAAGTTTGACACTTAGGGAGGTTAGTATCCCTATCGCCGGGAAACTTAAAATTTTTTATGAAAACCCAAATTTTAAAATTTTAATGAAAAGTATTTGTGGACTTGACCGCCGCGTTACCACAAAGTTCTCCTAAACATACAGTATTATTAAACTCTGTTTTGTTTACTTTGCAATGTGTATTTATTATCATAGGCTGTGCATTGAAGCGTGGCTTTAGCAACAGGTAGCAAAGTGCTAAAATTAGCTACACATACTGCATTATGTAAAATTCGACTTGCATACTACGGTAGCGTCTATGGGTCAGTTTTACTAAAGACCACGACAGACGGTATGATTTTAACGTACAACACCAATTAAAAGTAAGATGTACAAGCAAAGTTTAATGTGTGAAGGCTACTTTTTCTTGATTTCGTAAACGTAAGGGATAGAAAGGACATGTTCTGTTTTAAAAATCTTGTCCTACAGACCTCCCGCAATGACAAGAAACAGATTGCCAAATAATCTCATGATAATGGGTTTAATGAATGAAATCCCAGAACAGTTAGGGCTAAAAGGTAAAGATAGTAGTTAAAAATGGGGCAAAAATGATGTAGAAAACTCTTCAGGAGTTCGACCCAAAGATGTGGTATGTTCGAATCCCAATTTTTTTTCCGAAATTGAGTATGTCACGGTATTGAACATTCTCTAATCAGGGGAGGTAGTTTTTTTAGGCGGCCGGATACTCTGCTGTCCGTAGAGCCGCAGTATGGTATTTCGAGGGTCCAGGGTTTGAGTTTCGGCCAGGCTGCACATTAATTTTGTTAATGGAGGTGTTTCAATAATTAAGTGAGTAATGTATACATGTAAGCGTTCAATTGGGAGAGATTATTTTAGGGAATATCAGATGATTCCTACAATGCAGGATTACGGTCTGAATGCAAGTGTTGTACTGCTTTGAAAATTGCACATCTTATCTCTAACTAGTGCTGAACAACTAAATCCTACCGTCTGTTGAGGCCTTAACATTTCGTAAACTTGTATTTTGTAACTTTACGTAAATAATAAATGTATGTCGCAAAGCAACCGTAAGATTTTTCTTTAACTTACGTTAACAAAGTTCATAACTCTGAAATTTGAGATTTATAAAACTCTTCAATAAAGATGGCGTCGTGTAAATAATCCTTTTTACATAGTAACCCGCATGCGCATTCTTCGTAGGGCAAAAACGATGACTACAATTTGTCATATTTAAAGGCTTTAAAAGACATTATTTCAAGTTATGTCACTCAGAAAACAGTAATTATTGGACGACTTACAGCAGTAAGTACTTAAAACGTCAAATGTTTTGAAACATGTATACGAAACTATGAAAGAAAAAGTGCATGCACAAAAGTCTTCTTTTAAGATATCATCAGACGACTTTTCCATCAGAAATTTTAATTGAAACAGCATGATGTAAAAGATTAAATTTTATTATCCCTTTATTACATAATATTGTACAATTTGTATTTTACACTTCCTCTGAATAAGTGGATTGGCAAGGCGGTAAGTTTCAGAGAGTTGGGGCCTCCGTGGTCGAGTGGTTAAAGTCGTTGACTTGAGATCACAGGTCCCTCACCACTGTAGATTCGATCCTCACTCGGGTCGAAATCTTTCATGTGAGGAAACCATCCAGCTGGCTTACGGAAGGTCGGTGGTTTTACCCAGGTGCCCGCTCGTGCCTGAAATAATGCCCGGAGGGGCACCTGGGGTCTTCCCCCACCTATAAAGCTGGAAAAAAATCAACGAAATCCACTGAAATCACTAAATCCAAAAAATCACCAGAAAGTACACCGTCGCTTTTTATATCTGTGGAGCAGAAACGCCAAAAAGACACTAAAACTCAGAGTAAAGATTCGACAAATTTGAAAGATAAAACATTGAATTATTCAAATCTTAAACCGAAAGAATCACAAACCTACACAACACAGCAAAAAACAAGATGTCAAAAATCCAAAAGACTCTCAAACACAACAATTGTCATATGCAGATGTCGTGAAACAACCAATACCCAGTTTGTATAAGAAATAGACAGGAAAAGGGATAACTCTACACAAAAATGAATACCACGAAAACACCGAATCATCATCTACTCAACTATATAAGTCCTCTTTCGATGCAGAAAGTGAGAATCAACATCAAAAGAGTTATCCTGTCTTTGAAAGTGTCCCGCTCCCGCAAAACAAGGCGGAAGTATTATGTTGGAGGGTATAGTTCCTATTTCAAAATAGAGATGGCATAATCGAATACCTTAAAGAAAATAAAGTCACACCTGTAGGAGTTTAAACTTATAGACACCCATCGTGGTAGTCTATCAGCAAAAATAACTTGTCTACCAAGATCAATGCTATCTTGTTGAAGATAAAGAAATTTTGGCCCGCAAAATATATGTAGAAGTGGTACTCCGAACTTGAATGGGAAGTCAAAGTTTTACACATACAAAGAGAAAGAAGAACAGGACTGTCCGTCAGTTGATAACTAACCCACTTCATGATATATACAACAACACTAAGTATTATTATACCTACATGTTAAATGACATACAACAATATAGTTACTGATACCAAAATGTACTGCAACGTTTCTCACAATGGAACGTTCGTCGGGGCCATGTCATCAGCTGGAAGTATAAGCTATCTACTTGATAAATATAATATAGATATAGCGTGCATCATTGAACATAAGCTTAAGCCAATTACCTCTCATTTCTAGATACAATTCACGGGAATTATAAGGCTCTCACAGTATGTGATGAAAGTTTGGTAAAATGCGGCAAAGGATGTAGAGGTGTGAGCATCCTTTATAAGAAATCACTTGCTTTTAGTACAAAATCAATATTAAACACAAACTCTCATAGAATTGTTGGTATTCAACTTTATTGTGAAAAAATGCTTCCAGTATATATCTTCAGCATTTATATGCCATCTGTGAATTATACCGAGGAAGAATACAAAAGAATGCTTAGACAACTTACAGAGTCTTTTACGATACCTACTCACCCTTGGGAACCGTTCTTTTTTTGTGCTGATTGGAACGTAAATTTACATTTTACAGAATCTTTTGACAAAAGGACAACAAGCTCTGATACAGTCCTTAATCAAAACAATTTGAGAGTAAACACGAACGAATGACTAGATTATACCTTTAGCCAACACGTAAAATGCTAGACGGGTTATGATTTCTAAATCGAGAAAATGACTTAATTACTAAATGTAACATTATAGATGACGATTGTTGCTCAGTTTCGGATCATCAACGATATGCACTGTGATAAGTGGATCTATCATGGCGTATATCTCGAAAACTGATCATATAGCATGGAATAAATGTACAGACAATGATCTTCAAATGTACTCATATTATCTAGAAACAAAATTATTAGAATTTGATTTAAGTGATTTTGTTCCTAGTCCTCATGGCATCGAAATTCTGTATTCTCATATAGTGTCAGCAATTCAATGTGCCTCAAAAA